AATCCGCTGTTTATGTTTTTAACGTTTTCATGTCTTTTGTAGGAGTGTCCAATCCGTGACTCGAACTTGCGATCTTTGAGCTCTCAGCGCACTGTCTTGTCCACTGTACCACGAGTGTCTTCACACAAGAGGTAGGATTTAAGTCCTATTCATAGGAGTACTGTCTGAGTACTGTTTGAGAGATTTCAGTTTATTTGATTTACGTTTTTACGGTAGCTCTGAGCGGGACTCGAACCCACTGTCTTCTCAAGCTAATTTTGTTTTATTTTGATGGCACGCTTGTGTTGTGTACCACGCCACGACGTTGGTCGTTAAGTGGTGTTCATTTTTTTAACTACTCCAGTGTTCCGATGAGTTGAACGGAAAAGCCAAAACGATTGCTCGTTTCTGATTGCTTTGGTTCTGGTGAGTGTGTATCTATTTGTGATTCGAACCCATGTCGTTTGTATTGAGCGTTTTTTTATATTTTCCCATGTTGGCTACGCCGTAATATGCAACCACTTCCCCGTTTTATTGTGATTTTGAGAATGTTTAATGATGTCTTCCTCGCCCGTCACGCCATGACCCAGTTTCAACCACACGGCCATTTTGCAACAAGTGCGTGACCCTCGGCGTCACCCGACTGACTATATGATCGTTCTGTTCAACTGTTAAGCTAGGATTTATTACCGTTATTATCATTATATTGTCACATGATTTGTTTTACCTTATGTGCAATGTCTTAAGTATCTTTATTGTAATTTGTATATACCAATTTGTATATACCGAGGAAACGACCCCGATTGAAGGTCATGTATTTTGTGACGTCACCAATTCGTGTGTAGGTACGGCTTCTAGATCGGTGCCTCGCGTCAAGTGGTCATTCATTCGCAAACGTGAATTCGTACAGCGGGCGATGAACTAAACTTGACCTTTCGATGTGTCGCTTCCAAGGCGTTGTGATACTCTCTTTATTACTACCTATATGGTGCTGGACATCTCGACCCCAAACATTCTCGACCCATTTTTCATTGGACAACTCGACCCAGGACCCTAGACATCTCGACCCACCTATTTCAGACGACCCGCCGCCTCGACCCGATCCCAATAGCGTCGTACTTTTTCCCGATAGCGTCGTACTTTTCCCAGTGCGCGCATGAAGGCGCGACAATGTCATATAAATCATTATCGGATAATTATCGTCTAATAAAATCTAATGAAATTCTGGCAGAGATGTCTAACTTAGACATTGTTAGACGATATTATCGATAATATCGGAGAAAAACGAACTCTCCCGAGAGTTGCCCAGACAGACCTGTCTAACTTAGACATTTTTAGATATTGTTAGACGATATTATCGATAATATCGGAGAAAAATGAACTCTCCCAATAGTTGCCCAGACAGACCTGTCTAACTTTTTCTCCGATATTATTGTCTAATAAAGTCTAAGTTAGACAACCATGTGCGGGCAACTATTGGGTAAGATAGTTTTTATCCGATATTATCGATAATATCGAAATTATCGTCTAAGAATGTCTAAGTTAGACACCCATACCCACCGGGAACCTTGTCATATTACATTTTATCGGTAATGTGACATGCGAGACGTATTTGCTAACTTGTTTCCAGCGTTTCGGTGTTTTTGGTGGGAAATGCTTTAAAGCCGAAAGGAAGGAAGACAACTCTACGGCCGTTACGTAAAAACCCAACATACTCGTGTAAGAATTAACTATACTTCATTCCGCATTACGAATAAATAGCCATGGAAATATTTTTCTATGTTCATGGAGACAATAGTAGTTAACGCATTTTACATTTTATCTATCTATTAAAGTACGTAAATAAACTTTTTATTTATACTCTACGCGGCAAGTCGTGAACTAAATTGCACTATTACACTTTTTTGTCATGTTTTCACTGAGACAATAGTAGCATTAACACATTTTACATTTTATCTATCTATTAAAGTACGTAAATAAACATTTAGTTTATACTATACGTGACATTGTTATGTACTTCTGTTAAGTC